GGCGCGGGCGCCGGAGGCGTCGAGCCTCGCACCCCGACCGCCGGAGCGCAAAACAAACAGCTGCAGAACGTCAAGGGCGATCATCCTTCGGTACGTTCGGATTAGAAGGCGACGCGACGCGACATCTAATCGATCTAACGTTTCAGAAAGCGTTCCTGCAGAGCAGATCCATGTCGTTGGTCGACATGTACATCGACAACTCGGAACCGAGCGAAAACGTCGGTCAAATTCATTTCAGCCTGGAATACGACTTTCAGAATACTACGCTTATCCTCCGTATCATACAGGTTGGTTGTTTCTTTAACGTTGTTAGAAGCGAACGTTCACCGCTCGATCACGACCGATTTCAGGGTAAAGATCTGCCGGCGAAGGATTTGTCCGGAACGTCGGATCCTTACGTTCGCGTCACCCTTCTGCCGGACAAGAAGCATCGACTCGAAACGAAAATCAAGAGGCGCACGCTGAATCCTCGATGGAACGAAACGTTTTATTTCGAGGGTAAGTTAACGAAGGGGAGAGGAAGAGATCGTTGCCACGAATTCACGTTGCGTTCTGCCCTAGGTTTCCCGATACAGAAGCTGCAAAGCAGGGTGCTGCATTTGCACGTGTTCGATTACGATCGATTCTCGAGGGACGACTCGATCGGGGAAATGTTTCTTCCGCTCTGTCAGGTAATTTCGTAATCGCGAACGAGCCACGAGCTCGGAACGCGATCGCTGACCCGTGTTGCGACGATCGTAGGTCGATTTCTCGGAGAAGCCTTCGTTCTGGAAAGCTCTGAAACCGCCCGCGAAGGACAAATGCGGGGAACTGTTGTGCTCTTTGTGCTATCATCCGAGCAATTCCGTGCTGACTCTGACGTTGCTGAAAGCGAGAAACTTGAAAGCGAAAGACATCAACGGAAAGTCGGGTGAGTCTAGGAATGTAGGAACGGGCTACGATCGCGACGAGTTAACTCGAGATGAAACCGTTTATCGTTTTGTTGGTTGATTGAACGCGTTCAGATCCGTACGTGAAGGTGTGGTTGCAATTCGGCGACAAGAGGATCGAGAAACGAAAGACCCCGATATTCAAGTGCACCTTGAATCCGGTCTTCAACGAAGCGTTCTCGTTCAACGTGCCCTGGGAGAAGATCCGCGAGTGCTCGTTGGACGTGATGGTGATGGACTTCGACAATATCGGCCGCAACGAGCTGATCGGACGGATCCAGTTGGCAGGTGAAAGATCGTTTCGAGAACGGGTCGAAACTCGGAAGCGTCGATGACGATCGATCGGTTGTGAATTTCAGGGAAAAACGGTAGCGGCGCGAGCGAGACGAAACACTGGCAAGACATGATCACGAAACCTCGACAGACCATCGTACAGTGGCATCGACTGAAGCCGGAGTAAAAGCTTCCGTGCGGCCGTATTACCCGAGAGCATCGAAAATCCTCGATTCAGTCCGGACCAATGGCTCTCCAGTTGCACGGTCTTCCGGGGTACGAGGCCGACCATCGAGAAACGTTTCTCGACGTCGTCCACCGTCTCGGTTCCCGTTTTCTTCTCGGCCGACGACCGCGTCGAATGCGTCGAACGCGCCGAGAAGCCGAGTATCGGCGAACGGCCGTTCCACCCTCGTTTCTTCCCCCTGTTCCCGTTTTTCCGCGAGTTTCTTTCGGATCGAGACGGATACACGAATCCAGCCGGAATCTCGTCGATTCGCTTACCGCCTTTCCTTCGCCTCGTACCTGATTTTTCCCGACGCTGCCGATTCGATTATCAACGTTTTCTTTCCTCGCGCTATTCTGTCGCCCTCGTTCGTTTTCCCTTTCTGTTCCCGGTTCGCGCGCAACGACGAACCCATCGAATTCGACTCGCGCGCGTCGCTCGCGTTTCGAGCGGCCAAGACGCTCGAGGACGCGTGGCCGATCGACGTTACTTTCGCGACACCATTGACATTTACATCGAACGTTATTTTTATGACTGTTTTTGCACGAGTAACCACGTACCGAGTACGTGATACCGTTGCTTCGAATACCTGTTGACGCGATTCAGCGTTCTTCCCGTTACCCGTTACCCGTTATCCGCGTGTCGTCCGGTGTCCGTCGATTCCGACGTTCGTTCGCCCGTTTATTTTCCCATTTTCCCAACCCGTTTCCTTTCCGCCGCCTCTCTGCGACGCACTTATTCGCCACCGTTCGTTTTCCTCGTCCTTTCCTCGACGATTTGCGGCTTTCTTCTTTATCGTTTTTACGCGAGCGATCGGAACGGGACATCGGAGCGTAACGTTGAATTCTTACTAGTAGAAGAAAAACAGCGACTAAAGCAGCGATATTTTTGACGGAATTTTTGTATCGACGTAGTCGGAGATCTTTTGAAAGCGATGAAAATTGTGATCGGTGTTACACCTTGAATTAATCTTAAGCGTTACATTCAATAGTTTGCTGTTGTTGACGATAACGTAGATCGATCCCCGTGATCAAATTCAGACGACGATTTGCAGATTTTTGCATATATACGTATACGTCACACGTACAAAACGTACAAAGCGTACAAAACGTACAAAAACGTACATACACACAAATGCATACATGCATACATACACGCGTATACACGTTGGCGTTCGCGGTGCGCGTGCGCGTGCGTTCGACGAGGAAGAACTAGCCTCGTAGTCGAGAAAAGTTAGCTAAACGCGATTCGCGATCGAGCGACGAAACGTTTTCCTCTCGTCTACCTCGAAACGCACGCGCTCGCCTATCGTCGAACACCGAATCTTGATGCATCCGCACACACGTGCATCGTATATGTGTGCACGTAATTATCGAGTAGCACAAAGAAAAGAAACGTGTAGACTAACGTTTGTATATCGTAGCCTGTGTATTATATACCGTTGTACGCGAAACGTTGACAGTGAATTCGATTCGGTTAAACGAAATTGAACGAAACGAAACTAAACGAATCGAATCGGGTAAAGTGACGAAAGGTCTGGGTAGCGTAGTGTCGCGACCAAACGATTTTACGCTGGATTTCGCGCGCGTTAGATCCGCAGCGTTCGGCGGTTCGATCGTTCGGTCGTCCGTGAGTGGAGGCGCGGATGCGGGATTACGCGGATTAGTCGGAATTAGCGGAAAAAGGGAGATTTAGAAAAAAGAAAAAAAGAAAAAAAGTGCCAAAAACTAAATGTAAACAGCGAAACGAAACGAAAAAGTAAACGAAAGATTTCGTTGCCGAGCGTTATTTGTTCGATCGTTTTGTAGCGTGCGCTCGCGACGCGGTCGTGGCGAGAATAAAAGAGCTTACGCTAGGCCGGCCGAACAATCGGCGATCGAGAGCGACCGCGAACGCCGATCGGGAGGATCGGCCGAGCACCTAGCTCCGTATAAAATACCGCGTAGTTGTTACGTACTATGCATATCCGATGGTGATGATCGAACGCCAGAGATTCGTCAAGCTGTTCGAGCAACCGATTTAACTACGAAAGTTTGGCGGTTATACGCGTTCCGTCGCGTTCAGTTGGGACGCGCGTTTATTCTAAAGAGAAAAGAACAAAAACAAAAAAAATAAATGAAAAAACAACTCGTAGAGTCAAACGAATCGTTGAGATACGTAGTAGCGTGTATACAGTTAAGTACGCGTTAGTTCGAACCGGATGCGAATTGGGCCTTATACCATGGATTACCTCAATCGTAAGCAGCTTGCGAGACAAGTTTCAGTCTGCGATAACGATATAGCGAGCGTTAAGATTTTAATTAGGCGCGGGAACACTTTGCTGCTCTACGTTTACGAGCTTAGCGAGCCAACTCGTTTATCGAGTCCGAGTTACGGATTCCGGCGATCGGTCGGAAATTTCGCGCGCGAGTCGAGAACTCTCGTTCGCTCTCGTTCTCTTCCTGCTCGCTTTCCTTTTCGATCGTGAACGACGGCTGGAGAGAACGGGAGAGAAGAGCGACGGCGAAGAGACGGGAACGGGGAACGTACGTCGCGAAAGCGCGGAAAGCGTGAAATACAACTCGGACGGGATACAGCGCGAGAGAAGAATTCAGGCAAATTGAAACGCGCGTGAAACGGTCGAGAGAAGAAGGGCAAGAAAACGTAGGAAAATATAATTAGTTAGAGAACGTAGCCGACGTAAAGCGGTGCGACGTTCGCTTACCGGATACGCGACGGAGCCGCGATCGGGAAGAAAAAAATAAAGAAGGAACGAAAAGGAGGGTGGAGAACGGGATCGATCGTTGGCGGGTTCGTTCGATGGTACGTACGTAAGTCGAGACTGCTCTGACGCGTATCCGGTCCTCGTAGCGCGCAACGCCATATATTTTTTAGCTTCGTATCGCGTACGCGTTCGTTACGTTTGGATGGTGTCGGATCGAATCTCGATTCCACGTATTCGCGAACGACGAACGAAACGAAACGGAACGGAACGAAAAGGAAAGGAAAGAAAGCGTACGCAAACGCGCCGTTGGAAAAACGGTCGCGTTTCCGGCGACAGCAGCAGCAGTCGTCACGGATCGTTACGAGATCCGCGCACCAGTCCCGTCGCTAGCGGCGGATTCGATGCCGTATCGTTTTCGTGTCGTAGTATTCCGTATTGTATCCGAAGCTCTTACATCCCACCCCATCGCCCCTAACCGCCCCGCCATTCTATCCTATAGATAGACCAACCTCCCCCGTTCGACCATTTCGCCCCGTTTATCCCCTTTTATTCCCCTTTATCCCGTCATCCCGTTCTCCGAACCTAACCCGTCGAAGCGCATCAATTAACTCTTTGCCGCTTAGCCGTAAGCTCGATATCGCTGTGTGTTTCCTTCGAGATATCGTTTTACGTTTACGAACAAATCGAACAGATGCATTTATTATTTCCAGAATATCGCTTGATGCTCGAGATACGTTGTATATCCGAATAAAGAGAATTTCGTTTGGAAAGTATTCGTCGCATCCATTTATTCCCGTTCCAGATTTCGAATTTCAGATTCCAGAGAAGACCGACGATCGAGACGCGTCAGGAAGACATGCCGATAACGTTGGTCCTTTCGAGCAGTCGAACGACCGTCGATACCAATTTCGACGAGATCCTTTCCATCAAGAGTCGGCTCTTGATGCCGGCGGTGTGCAGCGCCAGCTGATACAGGTCGGAATAATACTGCGAAGTAAAAGTAATAGAAAATGTGGAGAAAGGGAGTGCGGACAGATCGATTTACCTCGGTGTCGTGCTCGTCATATGGTAATTCGGAGAACTCTGGACTGACCTCGGTGCAACGTACGCGCATGGTTCTCGATGGCGTTACCAACAGCGTCAGATTGGTGCGCTTCGGGTAAGACGAACGTAAACGCTATCGATAAGGTTATCGTACAGAGACAAAACGCGCGTTACCTCTTTGGCCAAGCAACCGTGCATCTCTTTCAACTGCACGACTATCTGACGAAAGTCGCGGGTGGCGTTCCATCGCGACCAAGCGAAGGCATACGCGGTAGACAGCATAGCCATGCATCGTCGCAGATGATTTTCCGCGGCGGGATGTTTCGTGTTGATTCCCGTCAGATAAGAGATCGCGTCACGATCAGGAAAGAGTTCGCAACCGAGTGATTTCAATCGCTGCGCACAGTGTCGGTATCGTGAGAAGATCTAACGCGGCGAAGGCAGGTGAAAAGTTCGATTACCTTGATCAGACGCTCCAGATCGTCGTATTCGCCGAGTATCCCTTTGAGTGGATCGTTCGAGTGGCCGGTCAGCGAGTTCAAGCAGACCCGATCTTCCTGCGAACAAAGAGGCGCAACGTATTGGCTCGAAACGACGGAAAAGCAGCAACGAGTTTACCCTGACGACGAATTCGACTTGAATCGTGGCGGCCGTTATGGAGAGCACCACTCCGCCGTGTTCGCGGCCACTTTTCCCCGTTTCCGGTTTCAGTTCCCAACTCTGGAACGGAAGATTAGAGAATTTGTAGGCGGCCAAGCCGTGAACGCCTAATCTGCCGCTTCTGAACGCGATCGTTTTCTGTTCTTCGTTGAATTTCACGTCGTGAATGTGCTTGGTCGACCAGATTTCCTTTTCCGGCACCCATTGAGCGATCAACGGCGGTTCGAACCAAAAGATCGTGTCGGGTAGCCTGTTGGATCACCTGAAAATTTCTACCGATCGTTCTTCCATGCGCGAACGATACCTCTCGCGAAACGATCACCGACCTCAGAGTGATCAGAACGAGCGCCTCCATCGCCAGTTCCAACGCTTTCATTTCTGCTTCTATCGCTTCCGGTGTTCTCTCGGACTCGGGCACCGGCTCCGGCGTCACGTAGCGTCTCGAGAACGCCACGAACTTCGGTTCCTTTGGCAGCTCGACTGCAACCAACGCGTATCATCGCATCGTCTACGGACGATCGCTGATCGAAGCACACTCACGAGTGGTCAAGTAAGTTCCTTTTCCGAGGTCCTTCGGTTGAGGCGGTTGGTAAAGAAGATCCACGCGAAATACTCCGCCGAGAATTCGATACTTTCGCAGGTTCACCTCGGTCTTTTCGCATCGCGTGAACAGCAGTCTCCTAACCTCCAGTCTCGCCTCGTCTACGAAATGTCTTGTCCTTTATCGGTCAACTTTCCCTCGCTCTCTCTCTTCATCCGTCTCCCTTACCTTCTCTTTGACGAACGATCTCGTACGGAGTCGGCAAATAGGGTAACGATTCCGCTTTCGAGGACAACGCGGAATCGAGCTCCGCTCGTCTGTCTCTGCGCGCGGATCGCGGTCTCTTCTTTTTGCCCCGTTTGGTTCTCCTCTCGGGTGCAATCGCTGGCGGATGTTCCATTAATTCCAGCAACGCTTTTTTCTCCTCCAAACGTAAGCGTCGATCTTCGGCTTGTTCCTCTCGTATACGAACCTTCTCCCGGTATTCGTTTCTCGCGAATTCGAGCATATCTGGAAGAAGAGAAGGATGAAACGCGAAGGTCGAAACGACAGCGAACCGTGGCCTACCGGGAGAGCGACCCCACAGTCCGAGCAAGCGCTCCGGAAGATCGGGCATTAGACGAGATCGCGTTTCCGCCGAATAATGATCGTGAGCGAGCCAGAGTCCTCTGATCGCCATGCGATGGCAGTCGACGTCCGTCGGCAGTTTGATCGTCAGCTGCATCTCCTTGAATTGTACCTGGATCGGCTTCCTGTCGAGACAAGAAATCGGTAACGGACTCGATTCTATCCCTAGCGAGAACGACGTACAGATCCTTGGCCAACATGGGTCGTTTCATTCCGATGGGTAACGTGATCGGTGCCCAGAAACAGCAGACCAGCTTTTCCGTCGCTCGAACGTATCCGACCGTTTTCGGGTCCTCCAGGATCATGTTCTCCTCGATGTTACGCAGTAATCGATAACACGCCATGTCTATCCACCGTTGAAGCCTGTTTCGTAATTCGGTCGCGATCTGTACACGAGATACGTTTCGTTTCGTCTATGTTCGATCAGCGAGAATCGACGCTCACCTCTTTGTGCTCGGCTCTGTACTTCTTCGAAACGGCCATAGAAAAACGAACGATTTCTTCCAGCTTGTTCAGCAGCTGAAACGCGAAGATCGTCGATCGTTGTCGCTAATCGTTCGCGTTTTCGTACTTACGCAAATCGCCGCTCGACGCTTCTCCTCGACGTTGTCCATGCTCGCGTCTTCCTCCTCCGTCGACCAGATATAAGCGAAAGCGTTCAGTTCGGGCAGCGACTCGGGGTCCGGCAGTCCGTCGCAAGTCCCGTAACGGGCCCACTGAAATGCGATTCGCGCGATGAAGGACAGGAGAAAACCGCGTCACGGAAAAAACCGATACCGACGCGTTCCTGCTGTTCGATAAGTCGTTCGTTCTCGGTGTGCACCGCCCAATGTCTCGAGAAAACAGCCGTCGTCCGCTCCAACTGCGCCTCTCGAATCGCCGCATCTTTCGCGTCCAACAGCGCTCCCTGTTTCTCCTCGTGTTCCTCTAAGCGAATCTCCTCCTTCAGATCTTTCATCGCTCGTTCCCTGCGTGAAATCGTACGCGATCGAGAAATCGCGGAGAGAAAAGAGGGACCGTCGTTACCTGGGGTCGACCAGTTCTTCGCTGTCCGTCGCGCTCTTCTCGTCCACGGCGGGCTTCGCCTTCGGCGAACCTCGCTTTCCGCGCTTCATCTTTTCGGGACGGGGCGTTACCGCGACCGGCGGCGCTCTCTAAATCGAACGAGATTCGAATTCGAGAAGCTCGGTCATGCGGGAAACGAACGCGGATTCGACGAGGTTCGAAAATCTCGTCGCTAGCCCTCGACGTCGCGAACGGCTATGCGAATCTCGCGTCATCGTCTCTCCAACTGCAACGCGCGCGAGTATCTTTTTAGCAGTTTCGACGAAATACTAAAATAAGCGCCTTTTCCTACCAACGACGCCACGCGACGCGGTTCCTCGATCGTCTTCGCGCGATACTTCCGCAAACTTCTATCGCTCTCGGAGATTGCATCCTCTTCGTATTCCTCGTACTCCTCGTAGGACGATTCCGACGATTCGGACGCGTGTTCCGACGGCTGTTGCTCCGCATCTCCCACGATCAGATCCCTGGAAAACCGGCACGCGATCCGTTCAATTCGTCCTATCGTTCGACTCGACCGAACCTCGAAAACTCTACCGCGAGCTTCGAGCTCGAACGATCGACGGATGTCGACAATGTCCTCCAACCCTGCTCCAACGTCGAGACTTGGGAAATGCGCAACGCCGAGGCTTGAGAAACCCGCGGCGAAGGGGACGCGATCGATTTTGAATATTCCCGTCTACTGGATAAACTCATCGTTTCGCGATCGAATTCCTTTTCCTCGAAGCGCCGAGACGTTTGGTGTTTCGCGAAACAAAGAAATTCGCGAAAGCGTACGCGCGCGTTCGTAGTAGGCTTTCCGCGATCGGGGGGAAGAGTTAGTGAACTCGGAAAAATTCGCTTCTGGAAATTCGCCTTTAACCTAATGACCCTGCTCGCTGGAGCTCGTACGCTTCCCCGCTTCCATAGCGCCGTAACGATACCCTCGCGTGTGTACGTGCGTCGAAACGATGAATAATCGAACAGAACGCGGTGAGAAGCGGGAAACGAGAAAAGAAACGTTTTATTCTTAGTAACGGGGCCAACTAACAATGCGGGCGAATGCATTATGCAACGGGTTGTGCTCTTTGAACCGGAATAACGTAATCAGAAGGTCAATTATGGTATCATTTCCGGTGGCGCGTCGGTGATCGGCTACCTTCTCTGTATCGATAGTTGGCCTGCTGCTAGTTCCGACGAAGCAACGAAAGAAAATCAACGGAGAACGAGTAGAAAATCGATCGAGAAACGATAAAACGCGCCATGTCCGTAAGTTCGCTGTGTTCGAGTCGGATAATCGGTCTATCGCGAACATTTTCAGCTGAATAATTTTGTTGCAGGCACTCAAGGATAATGAGGGAAAATCGAAGGACCTCGGAAAGCATTCGATCGCCGCGTTCTACGCGGGTAGAAGCATCTTCGTTACCGGCGCTACCGGCTTTTTGGGCAAAGTCTTGATCGAAAAATTACTCAGATCCTGTCCCGAAGTCCGCGAGATATTTCTGCTGATGCGGCCAAAAAACGGACTCTCGATCGACCAGAGATTAAGGGAGATGCTTCGATTGCCCGTGAGCCTGCCAGTTTACCGAGTAGTATCGCGACGGTAACCGTTTCGCTTCGACGCTACGTTTGTTCGCAGCTCTTCGACAAACTACGAGAGGAGAATCCGTCCAGTTTCGAGAAACTGATTCCCGTTCTCGGCGACGTCGCTACCGAGGGATTGGGTTTGCCGACGATCGAGCGAAAAGTGATCACCGACCGAGTTTCCATCATCTTCCACGTGGCTGCGAACGTTCGATTCCACGAAAACCTCAAGAAAGACATATTTTCCAATACCCGGTCGACCAGGGACGTTTGCATACTCGCGGGCAGCACCAAGAATCTGGTGGTAAGCGAGGCATCGCTTCGTTATTTTCTCTCTTACCGATCACCGCGTTTCACCGTTGTATTTCTTTTCCGTCGAGGCACTGGTGCACGTTAGTTCGGCGTTCGCGCAGGCCGACAAACCGGTGGTCGACGAGATCGTGTATCCGCCGCTTACCAATTGGCGGGACGCTATCCGCATGGTGGAGACGCTGGACGAACAGACTATACGAGTTTTCTCTCCCAAGTGAGTGTACTCTCGTGGTCGAAATTTGCTTCGATTCGGTACTCGAAACGACTCGATTTTTCTCGTCGCAGATACGTAGGCTCGATGCCGAACACTTACACGTTTAGCAAACGGCTGGCGGAACAAGTGATCAGCGATTACTCGAAAGATTTGCCCTGCGTGATTTTCCGACCATCGATAGGTAAACCGAATGACGATTTCAAGCGATTGCAGGAGGTCGGGATAAAATTATCGATCGTTTGTCGCAGTGGTATCCACGGTTCACGACCCGATGCGTGGCTGGTTGGACAACTTCAACGGACCGGTGGGCATGCTGATCGGCGGTGGAAAAGGAATACTGCGAGTCACGCGAGTCGATCCAAAGGTGGCCAGCGATTTTCTTCCGGTCGACGTGGCTATCAAAGCTATGCTAACATGCGCGTGGAAACGAGGATCGCAAACGTACGAACTGGAAAAATCGAAACAGGCGGGAGACGGTCACGAAAACACTGTCTTTCGAATGCTTTCAGAGTGACCAGAGATCCGAGCGTTCACGTGTACAACTGCACCTCCCACGAGGTCCGCCGCATCGTTATCAGAGAGTTGGTCACGATGGGTTTGCGAACGAACGAGAAGATTCCGCTTGAAGGAATAATCTGGTACCCTCGGACGTTCCTAACGTCCAATCGTTTCCTCCATTACGTTCTGACCTTGTTGATTCATGTGCTACCGGCTTTGATCATCGACGGAGCGATCAAGTTGTCGGGTGGTCGACCGATGTGAGCGAAAACCAACGAAATTTTCTCCGTCCCTTCTCCCCTTTTCTTTCGACCCTCTTCTCTGATACCGCGTTGCCTCCACCTCGCAGGTTGCTCAAGATTCAAAGGAAAATCTACTCGAGCGTGATCCAACTGAGCCACTTTCTCCACAACGAATGGACTTTCCACAATTCCAAAATGCTCGACATACTGACGACGGATGTACCACCGGCGGAACGAGAGATCTTTGGCTACGACTTCCGTTACTTCAACGTGAACGATTTCTTCGAGTGAGTGCTATCAGCCGGTTCGATTAACCGCGCTTATCGATTCTCGACTTTCTCTATTTTCCATGTTTTCTGCGATCAGGAACTGTTTGATCGGGGCGAAGCGTTACCTCCTGCACGAGGATATGACTCGAATACGAGAGGCCAAACAACATTACGAGAGGTAACACGCTCTTCTCCGTCCACCCTGCGATATTCAGCGCGAAGTTTGATCGATCGCGCGTCTCCCTCTCCGCTTCTCCCGCTGCCAACTATATTTTTTAGCGAATTTTTCCGTTGTTTTGGCACGCGATTATTTCCGCGCCCTTATCGACTTGCGTCGCGTCGAGCTGTTACGCGCCTACCGACAGAATCGTGACGTTCGATAACTGGAAATCCCGCTCGGACACCGCGAGTTTCCACGTTTCTCCTTCTTCCTCGCTATTTTTAGACGCATACCGTGCTAATTTTACCGGCACTTCGGCTCCACTTTCGCTCGATTTTAGAAAGAACGCGACGGACGATTCCGTAGGTTATACGTCCGTTTTCGCGTTACAGAATGAAGTGGATCGACAGGATATTCAACGTCGTTTTGGTCGTATCGATAACGTGGATCCTCATGAAACTCGGAGTCACGTCATATCTCCTCGAATCGCTTGGTCGTATCGCGGACGGATCGTTCCTCGAGGAGTGAAGGGAGTCCACCGATCGACTAACTGCGGCAAATAAAAAAAGGAAAAGTAAAAAGTATACGACGATTTTTGTTTTCTCCCGCCTCGTCGACCGATGTGAGCGAAAACCAACGAAATTTTCTCCGTCCCTTCTCCCCTTTTCTTTCGACCCTCTTCTCTGATACCGCGTTGCCTCCACCTCGCAGGTTGCTCAAGATTCAAAGGAAAATCTACTCGAGCGTGATCCAACTGAGCCACTTTCTCCACAACGAATGGACTTTCCACAATTCCAAAATGCTCGACATACTGACGACGGATGTACCACCGGCGGAACGAGAGATCTTTGGCTACGACTTCCGTTACTTCAACGTGAACGATTTCTTCGAGTGAGTGCTATCAGCCGGTTCGATTAACCGCGCTTATCGATTCTCGACTTTCTCTATTTTCCATGTTTTCTGCGATCAGGAACTGTTTGATCGGGGCGAAGCGTTACCTCCTGCACGAGGATATGACTCGAATACGAGAGGCCAAACAACATTACGAGAGGTAACACGCTCTTCTCCGTCCACCCTGCGATATTCAGCGCGAAGTTTGATCGATCGCGCGTCTCCCTCTCCGCTTCTCCCGCTGCCAACTATATTTTTTAGCGAATTTTTCCGTTGTTTTGGCACGCGATTATTTCCGCGCCCTTATCGACTTGCGTCGCGTCGAGCTGTTACGCGCCTACCGACAGAATCGTGACGTTCGATAACTGGAAATCCCGCTCGGACACCGCGAGTTTCCACGTTTCTCCTTCTTCCTCGCTATTTTTAGACGCATACCGTGCTAATTTTACCGGCACTTCGGCTCCACTTTCGCTCGATTTTAGAAAGAACGCGACGGACGATTCCGTAGGTTATACGTCCGTTTTCGCGTTACAGAATGAAGTGGATCGACAGGATATTCAACGTCGTTTTGGTCGTATCGATAACGTGGATCCTCATGAAACTCGGAGTCACGTCATATCTCCTCGAATCGCTTGGTCGTATCGCGGACGGATCGTTCCTCGAGGAGTGAAGGGAGTCCACCGATCGACTAACTGCGGCAAATAAAAAAAGGAAAAGTAAAAAGTATACGACGATTTTTGTTTTCTCCCGCCTCTTTTTCCTCTCCGCTCGTGCGATCGACCGTCGATACTCGCGAGTCGCGTGTCGGTGCGCGCGAGCCTTCGTCATACGCATCGAGTCGATCCCTTCTCTTCGCCGAGCTTCGTCGTTCCCACCACCGCCGTTCCTGCATTCCTCTTTCTTTTCATGCGTATTTCGTCGAAGAAAATACGCGACAATGCGCTAGAACGCCTAAACGAGCGAAACGCAACGCGTCGCTCGAAACCGAACGAGGCAACGCGAAAAACGGTCGAAACAGGGGAACGGTAAAATGCTCGTTAAAAAGTTGCATTCGCCTCGTTTTGTGCCGCTTCGTATAGTGACGATTGCGAATGAGCGTAAACGCATCGTTGTGGATAGTTGCGCATGCGTGTCCACTATCGCGGAGTTAAGGCAGATATTTTAATCGGTCGGCGGGTCATCCAGCAACCGGTTTTGCGCGTTATCGTCGTTAGTGTAGAAAGGTTGTACGAAGGAAGATCGTGTTCGCGAGAGGAGCGCGTTCGTCAGAAGATTCCTGAGGAGACTGCTACTTAGAAGAAGCGCACCAGTATTTGGTAAGAACGCTCGTTTCTTTCTCGTATCGATCATTGAAAATGTGTGTCTCGCGACATCGTGCCAGCACGCGATAAGCGAAAGGAGGGAGCGACAAAAAGAGAGGGACGGGGACTAGGAAAAAACAAGAACGTCTTAACGATATGTATTTATGCGTCGTGACGGTATCGCGCGCGGAGATCTATCGCCCCACCTTCTCCGTTGAACCAGCGTAAATTCCAAGTGGAAGTAGTGGGATCCAGAATCGATTCGGATCGAAAAGAAGTGGCCAGTCGAATCGGAACGGTGCGGTGGTGCTCCGTTCGTAAATACGGAGATCTCGGACGAATTAAATCGCATTTACCCGCGAAAGCGCGTGAATTTCGTGGGATCGGAACAGCTGCCGCGCCGCGTTCGTCAAACGGATCGGCGCGATTAACGATGTACACGAGGTCGCAGACAGAACTAATAAAGGACGCGTGAATAATTGCTGTATGAAATAGCCGAGTGCGTCCTCTCGCGTAGGCGTAATCTTGTTTTGTTTTCGTAAAAGTATCTTCCTTTTGACGGACGAAGTCGACTCCGATTGACTCGATACGCCGCAGCGCGCGATAATGCAGCGACGCTTATTCTTTTCGTAGGCTGTTCGATAGAACGCCAGAAAAATTCCTCTGCTCCGCCATATGTTTCTCCTACTTCACGATATTTCGTTCGCGTCGTTCCTGTTGGCGCAACGCCGACCTTCGCGTCGTCTCCATTCCAGCGAACAGACTCGAATTTTACCAAGTACGAGGTTATTCGAAAGCGGTTAAGTCTATCGTATGTAATTCGCTCGTAGGCGACGAAACGACTCGACGATAAAGAAATGCGGTACGGATTGTTTCGCGGAAGCTGCGAAAAGAAAGAAGATTCGCCGAAGATGACCAACGCGTGCGTAACGTCGGCTCTTCGAAGTCAGAGCACCGCGATGAACTCCATCGAGGACGCGATCGAAAAAATCCGCCGTCTCCGAGTTACGGCCGACGACGAAGATGCCGCGCGGCCTGATCCAGCAATCGATCGCCCGATCGATCACGATAAACGCGACGAAGGAGACGAGAAGGAAACGGAAGAGGAAAAGGAAGAAAAGGACGATAGCGACGGAAGCGACGAAGACGACGAGAACAGCGACGAAAGCGACGATCTCGTCGAACGTGGACCGATGAAACAATATTCTCCTCCGACTCGTGCTCGACCATATCACGTGAACTCCGAACGGCGCTTTTTTTTCGATTTGCACGAAAGCGTACTCCTCGATTACGATAAAAGCGTAGAGGAAATACTGAGGGACGAAGATCTATTGAGCACGAACGAGCTGAATCGAAATCGCCTCGCGTCGCAGGAAAACGAGGTAAGCAAAGCCGGTTCCGTCGATTTCAAGTACCGAAGTAATCGAATTTTTTCGATGGTTTCAGTCTATTTCGCTATCCGACACCAACGTGGACGATTCTGCGGGCAACCGGTTATTGGAAGACGTGTTACGCGGTGTCTTTCAAGCGGCTCAACCCGCCGCGGCCAAGGAGAACGACGACGCTCGCAGTTTTTGGGAAAATCACGAGTCCTCGTATCTCACCGAATCTCACGCCCCGGCCGCTCGCACGGTCTCCGATAGTTCGAGCGACACGCTCCCTCCGGCCCCGAATTCTAGGATCGTTCCGTCCATGTACAGAGAGCCACAATCGTCCTGCTACTCCTACAGCTCTTCGTCTTGTTCCTCGAATCAGTCGTTCGGCGATGCTGCCAGTCCGAAAAGCTACCAGGCGCTGGTCGGTCCGCGAATCGAAACACGACGGATCGAAGAACAAGACTTGGACGATTGTTCCTTTTGGAAGGAACAGGAACTCGAGTCCGTGAAGAGCAGCGCGATAAGCGCGATACTCAAAGAGCTCGTGAACGGTTTAGAAGAAGAGACCGGTGTCCGGACAGAGGAAACGCGAGGATCCGATTCTACCGCCGTCACCGGAGGCTTCGGTCCGATCGGCGAATCAACGAACCTGCCGTCGTTCGCCGAAGTGAAACGCTCTAATCCCATCGTCGCCGATTTCTCTTCTTGCCTGTCGGAGATATCCTACTCGGATCTTGTCCCCGTGCTCGATTCGCTCCCAAACTTTTCGCCGTCTCCGAACACGATCCACACCGACCGCCCTAACTCGAAGGAGCTCGAAAAAACGGTGGAATCGACAGGCGCGATCGACGACTCGCGAATACCCAAGGTGCTTGCGTCGTTCGAGTCGCGACCTCAACAAAACCGGTGAGTTTCGCAACGTGCGATCGTCGTACGCGATTCGCCGAGAAAACTGATCGTTGTCCATTTGCAGGAACAAGTCCGAGCAAAACGCGTCACCCTGGTCGTCCTTGAACATGCCGATGATTCCGGCTAGCGACAAACTCAAGGAACAACTGGATGCTACGGAAGTGAAGAACGCCATGATCGACCTATTGAAGTGGAAGGTCGAGGAACTCGCTCGACAAGACCGCGACGGGGACACGTAAGGATCTTGATCGTCGAATCGCGTTCCGCGACAATTCGATTAATACGAGTTTGTCTCCCCTCGACAGAGCATTGATGTGTCTGGTTGGCAATCTGGACGAATTCCTCCGAAAGAAGGCGTACCTCGTACCGCTGGTCGAACGACTGAACACTATGAAAGGAGCCATCGCGATAACCAACCGTCGAGGCGAGGACGCTCTTTACTTGGCCGCGTTGAATTTTCCGCAGTTCCCTTACGTCACCGGATACCTGGCTGCGGTGATGCTGCAGAAGAACATCGACATTGCTCAACGGCTGTATCGTATTTCCGTAAGCTTCAACGGTTTCTCTCCGTTTTGACGAGAGACGATGCATCTTCTTTACGCGATCTTTACCACAGGGTGACACGTTGATACACGCGGTCGCGGCACAAGGAGATTCGCACGCGGAGGTGCTGGCCGAGTTATTGTCTCTGAAAACGAGCCAAGGACACGCCGTGTTCGATCTGTCGAAACGCAATTACGATGGTAAGGCTGAACGCGTAACGATTTAAGGATCACACGATTATTCGAGGGGTAATTAATCGGAAGACTCTCGCGTTCGCAGGAAAAACGGCTCTGCACGTCGCTGTCGAGTCGCACAACCCGGTCTATGGTGGCACTTGGTCGTTGGCCAGCGTGAAGCTGCTGCTAAAGTACGGCGCTGATCCTAGAACGAAGGAAACGAGAAGCGGAGACACGTCGTTGCACGTCGCAGTGTCCCGAACGTGCGATCCAGCTCTCGTGAAGGTACGATCTCATCTACCTTCAGCCTTTTTCGTGATTCTTTAAGCCCTGCACGTTCAACAGGTATTATTGGAGGCGCGTGGCTCCGAATCGGTGAACGCGATCAACTACGATCACGATACGCCGCTGCACGCGGCAGCAGCTGCATCGAACGTCCCGTTATCGCGACAAACGGAGATCTGCTGGCTGTTGATTCGCGCCGGAGGCAACACGAACCTACCCAATATCCGAGGAGAAGTTCCATTGGACCTAGCCCCGTCGGACAGGAGAGAAGCTATCGCGAAGATCTTTTATGCTATGCCGTAATTGCCTAGGAAATCCCGGGGAAGAGAAGATCAAATGTTTTTCGCGTTTTGTGTATTTGTACCTGTAAACGTTCGCGAACGAGGAAAACGCAGGTGATCGAGTGACGAACGATGCGATCGATGCATCGCGAAAGAAGTAGAAAGTGTTCGTGGTATCGCGATGTGACTCGGAACGTTCGCGCGAGAAGCGAAGTAAAGAAAAGAAACACGATAAAGTTTGGTGGTCATTCCTTTCCCAACGATATCCGGTGGTTCCGGTGAAATCACGGCGTGCCCTTCCGGCGTAGAATTGGCGCGTAACGAGGGACGGACACGCTCGACGGCGCGGCGGGACGCGATAGCGCGAGCGTTCAAGTTTAGTCAATGGAACGACACGGCCGTCACTCAAAATAAAAGCGGCACGAAACAAGTGTCCATCTTAATCCCGACGATCGACCGATCTTCGTTCGGTACTGCTTCTCCGCAGCGACGCCGTAACCATTTTCCCTCGCGGTTACGATGCGCGTTGACCGAGCCCGCTCGCTCGGACTTTCGTCGTTCACGTTTCGCGGCCGGCGCATCGTCCAGCGTTCGCCGGTAAGGAGAAGAAAAGAAAGAGAAGCCGAACGAGGGAACGAGAGCGGACAGCGTGTCGCAGGCGCGCGCGCGCGCTTACATCTGCACGGGAAGCAAGAGGGAAGCGGAAGGAAATGAACGCGATACTCGGAGTGATTAGTTGGGCGGTTCTGGCGACGGCCGCGAATGACATCAGCGAACAATGTCAAATTCACGAGGAGACGACGATCGAGTGTCGATGCATCGGAAACGAGGTAAATGTCGCGTATATGATCGGGCGCAGTGGAACGCGGTGCAAACGTTTCTCTGTTTCAGGAGTTCTTCTTGCCGGAGGGCTACAACTACGAAAACGTGACCAGCCTGCGAATCGAGTGTTGCAGCTTCGCGAATCTTTACTTCTCCAGTTTGACCGAGGCTAACCGAATCGCGGAGATCGTCGTGCAGAATATCAGCGAGCGATTGATATTCGAGTTGTTTTTGACTTCGAAGAAAATGAAGCGAGTGAAGTTGTCCAAGATTCGGCGAGTACCGTTGATCTCTCGCGACACCTTTGTGAACCTGAACAGCATAGAGACCCTTCGGATCGAGGACACGAGTATCGACAAGTTCGAGGAACGATTCACCGACCTGGCGATCGGTAACCTTTCGATGATAAACGTGACGATCGGCCACGTCGACGAGCTGAATCTCTCGCAGAAGGGCGGGAACTTGCGCATAGAGAACACCGAGTTTCGAAACGTAGCGGGTTCCTTGAATTTCGCGCACTTCTCGACAGTCGAGATCGTTCGGTCGGCGTTCCGCCTGGGAAAACCCGGTTACGTGTTGATCGAAGGCGATTTCGTTTTCCTGGAAGATTGCGTGTTCTCGAACGCGAGCGCGAACCTCGTCGCGACGAGCGGCATCGAGATCAACGGCACCTGCGCCGACGGCAAAAGCTCGATGAGACTCTCGTCGAGCCGAATCGAGAGCGCGAACAATCGACTGCCGACCGAGATCGTTTACACTGGGAACAAAGGAAGCTTGGAAGGTGTTCGTATTCGCAACAACACCGTGTGCATCGCTGGAAACTGCAAGTGCGCGAAAAGCGCCGCCTCTTGCATCGTCTCCATTTCCCGTTTCCTTTCGTCGATTCTTCTTCTCCTCTCGACGCGTACTTTCTGTCGTTAGTGATTTCCGAACAGAAAGCTAAAGTAACGAGGAAACACTTTGAACATTGTTCTCCGATCCTACTTTACGCGTTGTCGTTCTCTTAGTTTTAACCGCGTATCTCTTCCTTCCCGAATTTGTAAGCCTTACCTTTTATACGATCGAGCCATTCGATTTGTAAAGTCGAACACCGCATCGTCGACGATCAAACGTAATAAATACTCGTTACAAACGTTGTCTGGTATCTTTCTTACCTTCTACCCTTGCCGTTATATGCGATATTTTTTTTCCTTCATTCAATTACATCGAAAGCATTATCCGCTCAGCGATTAGCAGGAATGCACGAGCAACCGTAACGAGCGCGCGTGATTTCGATCGCGGGGAATCGAAATCGTCGACTCGGTCGATAGGAAGGAGAAATCCGGGGAAAGTAGCGCGATCGTCTGGAGAGAGAACGAAACGCGGAAAATGAGAGAACCTCGCCGTTAGATGGCGATACGGGTATCGCGAGGTTCCGCGCGCGTTTCGCGGGCGTACAAAATTAAATTTCGAGAAAACTTCGGAAGCGTCTCGTTATCGTAACGCGAACGCGTATCGGCGTACGCGAAGCTCGCGAACGACTTTTCCGAGTGGCTACACGATTCGAATCGAACGAGAGAAAAAAGCTGATCGCGACGTACCCGATAGAATCGTTGCGCCGTGCGGAGGAGACTTTGCGCGCTCCGCTCAAAGTGCCGGCAGTTTTGACGGGTCAGTAACTCCAAAAATATTTATGTCGTCCTCAACTATTCTTACTCCCGCGACATGGATATTTTCGGCTAATGTTGGGTAACTCCGCGTTACCACGCGTTTCCCCGCTTTTCCCCAATTACGAGAATTCGGGGTGGCTTCGTAGTCGTTCACCCTCGTAAAGCGTCCACGGTTTTTTCGGAAGGTTCGCGAACCCGAAATACCTCGATCGAGGTCGAGCAGAGATTTCCGATTTCGGAAGACAGACGCGTCCCTCGTAGATCGACGAACGATGTTTACGAAACGTGACGACGTCGCGTCGGCGGCTAAGCTTTCCTATTTACTAGCTAGGCAGAGATCTCCAACTTCCGGCGTGGATGCTTTTGGTCGTGCCGGCAACGACTTTTCGAACACGACGCTCCATAAATCGAACGAGACTCCAGCTGTCCCCCGAGCTAGCTAGTATCGGGATGAGACGAAACAGAGCTATTAGCCGAGGGGGAGGGAAGCGAGAGGACGAGAGCGAGGCAGAGAGGATGGAAACGATGACGAATCGGTAGACGCGCGTATACTCGACTCGAGCGTGCGAACGGACGAGCGCAACGCGGCATCTGCTTTTTCGAATACGTGGTCGAGGTTCGAACCGCGTGGGAACGGACCAGCAAGTCCGAGAAACATCGAGAATTGATTTCGAGGCTCTTTATTGTATCGTAAAGTGGCGCGATCGAACGCGCGTATACCTAATACGTATTATGTATGTACATTCGATGTCGGGACTCGAGATCCGATCGAAAGCGCGACGATCGATCGGAAACGAAACGGAACGAATAAACGGACAGCCGAATTCGACGGAACTCGAGTCGGAAAGGTGTCTAGGAACTGGATATCCTGGTGCGCGCGAGAACTGGCTCCAGGAAGGCTCGGTAAAAGCTCTCGTCGACTCCTCGGCTGTTACTGATGCGAAGGATATCGATGGGCGTCGGTGGTCGCACGGCTCGGACCGTTGATGCTCTGAACGATCATGTTTAGACGATCCAAACTGCTTCCGGTGACCTGAAGCGAGTGCGATTCCATAGCGTGCTCGAAACCTGCGGATAAACGCGAACAAAAGTCGTGTCGTTAAGCTGGTAAGCGACGATCGAATCGCGGAACGCGAATATCGTGCTCTCCGCGATTCGTCTTCGTCGTCGTCGTCGTCGGCCGCGTGCACAAGCGTCCTTTCATTCGGACTCATTAGCGAGAAACGCGACGTCGCGCGTCGTCGGGTTTCTCTCGGTGAAACCGCTCTTTGTTTTCGTTCGCGCTTCGCATAGCGTCGCCGACGGATCACGCGCGAGTCTCGTCGATTTTGTCGGATCGAATCGTTTCGACCGGACGAAACAGCGGCAGCGAGCGCACCAGCGGAAAGAGAGAAAAAAGAGACGCAAGATCCGAGGAAAGTTTGTGGACGCGGCAAGGTATGTATTTTGGACGCAGTTTCCGTCGTGTTTAAACGACCGTTCCGCCGGCAAAAGGATGGCCCGGGAACGATGCGTCATACTAATGTACCGTAGCAATATATGGCACTTTGAAGAGAGCAGAATTTTCTCGTCCTTCGACGGCTAACCGAACGTCAGCGACGCGGCGCGAGCAGACTGTTCGCGGAACACGCGAACGGAAGCTTTCGATCCGAGAAACCGAACCGAGCCAACTCGAGATCGGTCTGCTCCGAAGGGAGGAACCGTGCCGAGAGAGGGCGTTAATTAAAATAATCAAGAACCGAGGACCACGCTGGTCGGACACGGTTCGGTAAATTCGTTGGCATCGCTACCGCGCCAAACCGTTAGCTCGTCGAAAAGCACTCGTTTCTGGTTGTCGCGACCGCGTCTATTCCTACCGAGCGAGCCGACTCTTTTTCCTCGCTTCGCAGCCTCCGACGTGGCGGAGGCGTTGCGGCGCGATCGTGAATTATAGGTTGCAGCGCGTAACGAGATTCTCCTAGTCTCGTGCCACGAATCGCCTGTCCGTTCGCTCCGTTTCTCTCTTTCCGTCTTTCCTCGTGTATCGTTTTCCCTCGCCACCGCGAGAATATTATTTCCGCCGTGTCCACGCGAAACAACCGTGACGAAAGACGTCACCGTTCGACGAGAAGATTCGCGACGAGCGGCGGAATGACCCGGCGGTACGGCGCGACGCTCCCTTCCTTCTCGTCGCTTCACGTTGAATTATGTACCACGCTTGCCAATAGTCGGGTATTCATTACCGCTAATTAATTCCGAGTTATTTTAACGGGCGGAATACCGCGATCGCGCTACCGAATGCATTCCCGCTTCGCTCGTCGCGTCTTTTCCGCGTGTTGTTCACGACCCCGTCACGACGGATCCGCGCTTAAGTCCGTGTTTCGCGGAGACTATTTTCGGAATGTAGGCCAATTAATGCCGCGGCGCTTTCGATAGTTCGGAAAAATGGAAAGCTTCGGATAGCGTGCGCGAAAATAACCGCGGAAAAGTGGCTTAGGGTCTCGGAGGAAGAGAAGACGCGAGAAGAAAGAGGAGAGACGGGACGCGTGGCGCGTGGCCGGCAGGACGTCTCGCGTCGCGAGTCGCGACCGCCCGGAGAGGACGGTGCGGCGTAGCTAGCGTCGAGAGCGAGAGGAGCTCACGGGTGGGCTATCTATAGCGGCGAGTGTAACCGAATAGAAACCGAGTGTCACTCAAGGGTGACAAAACTCATTAATACCGATCTGCTTAATGCTCCGTCTCGTGTCAGGCATTAATCTACTTAAAAATACCAGTAGATCGCGGCGATCTACGCTTTTGGAAGCGACCGGCAGGAGAGAGCTGCCGCTCCTTAATAGACGCTTCCTGTCTTTCCGCGCGTTTCGACGACCACGCGCGAACGAAAACGACCGTTTCGCGGATAGAATCTCACTCACCGTTGATGGGTTGAAACCTTGCCAAAGGGTCCGAGAATTGCCTGAGTCTTTCCGTCACGTATCGCGACGAGCCTGCGTTCTGCAAAAACAAGAAAATTCATTTTCGCGATCATCCACGCAGCGACCACTACCGTTTCGCGTTTCCGTCCGCGTTCGATCGTTCGCGAAATGTAGGTCAATCGGAGCGCGTTCGGTTAGGGAACCGCGCAAACGTCGTCTTTTCACGGGGTAGGAAGAAGAGGAAAACGGCGAGGAGGCGGAAGGGTGGGAGGCGCGCGAGAGACAAAGAAAGAAAGGCGAAAAGCGGCGATTTAGAGAAATCCGTGTTATCGGTTGGAAAGCGTTCGGAAAGCGCTCGGAAGCGATACGATCGGCCGGCCCGATGGGATCTCGACCACCCTTTCGCTTTCTTTCTTTCGTTCGCTCGTTCCTACGCTCTGTCGACCACCAAACACGCTCGGTACACGTTTTATCCGACTCGGCTTCCTTTATTTGTTGCGGCGCATCTATATGCGGCGTCGCGGCCAACTATTCTCGGAGTAAAAGCAGTTTCTCGCCGCGGTATCCACCGCCTCGCGTCGCGCGTCGCGCGGGTCGCGCGTCCACAACTTGTTACGATCATGTATTCTTCGCGAGCAGCCGCGCGTCTCTGTCGAAGCCGTGCGACCGACCTCGATCGCTTCGTCCGCGCTCGATCGAAACGGCCGACTAGGCGGGC